TCTCCATTCTTGCCACTTTCTGAAGCAGTTCTGGAAATCCTTTCTTGTCTTTAGTTGCATTATCGTGGATGCCTGATGCCCTGAACTGATTTAAAACATTTAGCCTTCATGGCCATTTTGACTCGGGGGGAGCCACAAGTCATCTGGCGCCAGCTGCAGTGAATAAGGTAGGTAAGGACACGGAGTGATGTCTTTACAAGCCTGTCCTTTGATGGGTGGCACTTGCCAGCAGGGTTTTCTGAGGTTTTGATCTGATCTTGTAAAGACGCTCAAGGAAAGGACTTGGAGAACCGCTCAAGAACTGGCCAGAATGATGGGCTAAGTGTGTTTGAAGCAAGGGGTATAATTCTGAGGGAGACTAATGCCAAGGCGTCTTTTATTGTAGTAAATTCACTTAAACATATATCATGTAATTCAGTCACACCTCCTATAATTTCTTTATTCTTAGTTACTTAGTATTTATTCAGTTACTCTTTCTTGACAATTACTTAAGTGAAATAACTGATATTATGTCTACCACTTCCATAAAGCAATTTAACACAGCACTAAAACATATGTACCATAATAATAGTCAGATATGTTTAAAAATGTAACATATTTAATATGTTTAATTCTTTAGTTTCAGAGACATAATTTACTATATTAGGTGTAAAGCCATACAGGGACAGCATTAATTTGAGTATTTTTGTCTACGGCCAGCCTTGACGAAGCTCAGAAACCCTACATTTCATTCGGAGCACATTCTCAAGTTTGATGTCCACTGGAATCACTTGAACAGTTTCTTACACCTGTAGATTTTTATGTCATATCCACACTTAATAAATCATCTCACTTTAGAGTTTTTGTATGAGAGTAGGTAGCTGTTAAGGACATCCTGGATAAAGACAGAAGTTTGGAAAAAAGGGATCTGTTTTGGTGGGGCTAAATCAAACTTCACTAGTTCTAGAATAACCTGTAACTGCCCTATAGAAGTGACTTGTGTGTGTGTGTGTGTGTGTGTGTGTGTGTGTGTACATGTGTTAGACCTCTCTCACCACTACAATCATTGGTGACAATCGGCTAATATTTCCTGCATTCTAACTTGAATGTTTTTGAATCTCAATCGATAAATACTGATTTTACTTTGAAAATTACTTTTGTTCTCTGAAACTCAGCTCTGGAAGCTTCAGTCTTTGGAAGGTGCACACCATCCCCCCCGCCCACAGTGAGCAGGAACTTGATTCTGAATAATCAACCACCTGCAAGAGCTGAATAATGAGCTTCTTGAAGGAGGAGGGAGAATTAAAGGAGGAGACTACATCTTGTCTGTCAGAGAGGGTTTGGCTGCTGTATCGGATGCTAAAAGGGGAGGCCTCCAGCAAGACAATTTAAATCAGGGGGAGTCGCTTGTCTGTTGGGTGAACAATGGTCCAAAAGGGCAAAGCTGGGAATCATGAAGCCCATGCTGTTGTCTCAGAACCCAGGGGAGGGACCCATATGAGCCGAGGCTGATGTACAACGTACAGAGTAATGGGCTTAAATATCAAGTCTCTCTAACTGTCTGAAAGAGGCCCCTGCAGCCTTCATTATCACCACCCGTTCTCTGCACACCAGATGGGGTGAGGGAGTCATGGAAAACAGACAAGGGATAATTATTATCATCTTATCTGTGTAGGACTTAATGATCCTCATGCTACTAGAGCTAAATTTGGGGAATCTTGACATTCAAAATGAAATTGTCAGAAGGACCGGGTAAGGACAGAGATATCTGAAAAACAAACAAAACCCAAAAGCAACTCCAAAACTTTATTTTGGCTTTTCCTTCACGGAGGAATTAATCTCCTTCACAAAGAACCAGCTCATTTATTGCACACCCCTGGACTGTGTTGAGATGGTAATGGTACTAGGAGGAGGTTTACAGACTTACAAAAATTTCTTTAAAAGTGAAAAATAAAAGCTGGGCATGCTGACACACACCTTTAATCCCAGCACTTGGGGGCTGAGGCAGCAGGATCTCCATGAGTTCAAGGCCAGCCTGGACTACATAGTGAGACCCTGTCTCCAAACACCAAAGCAACCCAAGAAGAGTGAAAAATAAAATAACCAAACATTCTTATGCTATTATTTGTTTCTTCTTTGTAAGAGAAAATCTTTTTAAATTTATGTCTTGCAGTCTAAGAAACTACTTTGAAGATAGCTTTACACATTGCCTTATCTATTGACATTCTCTTATTTTGTTATGAAATTGTTTTATTTTTTATAAAATAAATTATTAAAAGTGGAAGTCAAAAAAATCTTTGGTTAAGTAGTATAGCAACATGACTAAACTCTTACGGAGCTACTATTTTTAATTTTTTTTTCTGTAATCAGCTTCCAATTATATGCTTCATATTTGACTTACACAAAGAATGCTATCAAAGTCTTTCTTTGATTACAGGAGTTATGGCTGGAATGCCTATCATTGTAGCTCAAGATAATAAACCAATAAATAAATTACCCATCACTCTTTTGGCAACAGTTTCTAAGAAACTGTGCTTTATTAATTTGATAATTTAATAGAGAGACAGATTTTGATTATTTTCATACATAAATCCTGTGCTAGGCTGCATGAAGGAAGATGGTTTTATAATAAAGTGCTTAGGCGGACTGCCAGAGAATGTCATTGCTAGAATCATCTGACCTAAGGTCTTTCACAGATTAGGAAATGATGCCTACTGGAATCCATCAGAAAAAAAGTGATGTGTACTTAATCCTCTCGTGCCCAGTTTAAGCCCGGCATTTCATTAACTGTCCTATCTGCTCTTCTCCCAATATGCATTTTCCACATCATATCCTGTCTTAATTCTGCCTGGTTTAGGGCCAGCTGAGTACTCAGCTCATGTCATATGCACTATCTCTGCGTCGCTAGCCCTGCCTTTTCTGAGTATTGGCATTGCTCACCTTAGATTGAAAGGCTATGGAGAGTAGTGTTATCTACACAGGCATAAACAGCAAGTTTCCGGGATTACGATCTCATACATGTGCTTTACTAGCCCTGTGACCTTGAACAGGTTGCTTAGTTGCTTTACATATTACTCCCTTCAGTTATAAAATAAGGATGATAGCGTACAGACGTTGTCAGGTTTTACAGGATAACGTATGCAATCCGCCGAACAAATGCAAAACTAATAAGTTGTATACAGAAGTAGTAAGATGAGCAAGAGTAGTAACAATAGTAGTGTGGTATTTATATGCAATGGAGTACTACTCTGCCATAAAGAGGGCTAAACTTGTTACTTGGACAAAAATGGATGCACCTGAGATCCTAACATTAAGTAAAATAAATCACACCCTAGTTTAAACACTATCTCATAAGAAAAGCCCAAAATTAAATAAAGAGCAAAACAAAAGAGAGAGAATAGGAAACAGAGAGACATCTTTTGCAAAGGGGAAAAGGATCAAGAGATGAGTTAATGTGGGGTGGAGAGGAGGACGAGGGAAGGTAAAAGGAATTAAGATGCGTTCTGTGTGTATGTTCCGACATCATAAAAGGAGCATAATCATTCTGTTCTGCAAACATGTGCGCATAACAAAAATCTAAAAGAGATACAAAAGAACAGCGGGGGATCCGAGCAGAAGGAAGGACTCATGAAAAGTAGAACACATGACAGAACCTGGCGTATCTTTTGTATTGGTAGAAAGTGAGTGATATAAAGTACAACTACCTGGAAAATCATTGGGCAATTGTTTATAGGCAATTTTAACACGGTATCATCATTTCTATGGTCCTGAAATGTATACATTGACAAAAAGACAAGCTGCTTAATTATTCTTGAAGAAAGTCAAGGAGGCTGTCATAAAAGTAATCACTTTGAATTCAATGTTCACAAGGGTTAATTGGTATTTTTTGCGCAATGCAAATGGAAATTGTGGACAGACAGCAAGGTGCCCAGGATAATGAAGATGTATCACTAAAAGAAAAGTTCGCTTCGTGTGGCAAAAGAGACACCTCTAAGGATAGGTGAGAGAGGGGCCAAGAGCTTTGTATGTCGCATTGCTCCCAGTGCTTTGAATTTTGCTGACTTTGCAGCCCTGCGCAGGAGATACCCTGTGCAGCAGGCGTTGTGCACAATGGGTGTTTGACCACATCTTGTGAGCTGTTCAGAAAATAGCGCGCCTAAGTCACAGGGACACAATGTAATTCCTGAAGTTTTTCATTTCCTCGGGTAAGGAGGTTAGGCCATTGTTTTCAGTGACTGCAACACTACTTTCAGAGAAGAAGAAAATACAATTGATCAACACTCATTAATTATTATTTAGCCTTTACATTAATTATTTAGCCTTTACATCACTGAATTCAGTAAACGGGGCTACACAGTCGGACTACTGTCCTCTAATTTAAAGGAATTGTGAGGAAATAGCATAGTTGACAAAAACGGGTTTATTTCAGGGCACAATTTAAAAAAATGCAACACTCTATAAAATAATTAAGGGAGGCTCAATTGAAAAGGATACATTGTAATGCTATGAATATTTATGGATCACAGAAAATACTATACTATTTTCTTTCCTAAAGAAATACAAAGAAAAATTGATATAATATGTTGATTAGATAGGTTCAGAGATGTAGAGATTGGTACTGTATATAAATGTATTTCTAAAAGCCTTTGCAAACTATCAGCCACTGAAATGATATTGTTGATGTTGATATTAAATTATTGTACTCAACAAATTAAATTATTATATCCAACAAAGCAGGAAATTGCATTGAATGGGAACTAAAACTATTTTTCCGCTTTTAGGAATTTTCTAGCTTCCATATTAAGGCAAATGTTTCTGAAGTGCCAAGATTTCGTAGCAGCACTATCTTTTGGAATTACTTTTAATAGGAACAGGTACTATCAAGGCTTCTGAACCTTTGTTTTAATCAGTGGCGCTCCAGGCGAATCCCCCAGAGCAAGGGGAAAGGAGCAGAACTGGGTGAGCACACAGATCATGGTCCACAGCTCCACAGATGAGAAGACAAGCAACTGATTTCATACCTTCAATAGGTTTTGGTACAAAATGTGAGGAAGGCTTGGTTTTCTTCACTCGGTTGCCCTTCATAATTTGACCTTCTTTATTGAGTCCTAGAAACCACGCTCGGCCTGACTCTTGCTGGCGATACAACGTGGAAGAATAGATCACGTAGTAGTTCTCAAAGACAGATTCCTTAAATTTGCATTCTGGGGTGAAAACATCCTGCAGGAACAAAGTTAGAGAGAGAGAGAGAGAGAGAGAGAGAGAGAGAGAGATTTAAAACTGAATCAGCAAATGCTTATATCTAAAAATCTAAAATCGGGATGTTTTACAAAGACTCATTCATTGCACAAAATCAAGAAATAATATTTCCTTTCTAAAAAGTCTTTATTCTAGTGAAAACAACTGCTCGCACATCACAGACACGAGTCATTCTTCGGGCAGCAATCACTGAAAATAGTGCCTAAGTCCAAAATCTGACACCAGCATATTTTTTAAGTGGAAGTAGTAGTTGCCGATGCATCATTTCAGTGGCCCTTAGCATGTGAGTAAGGCACTAGGGTTTATACCTGGGAATTGAACCAAATGCCACCTCAGCAAACAGCCACACCCGATGTTTTTGAAATGGCCGCTCTATACGTGCAGAAATCTGTCACAAAGTCAAAGCTCATTTCGTCAAGTCACCAGTATGCTTCTGATTTGCCTAGTGTGAGTGGATTTCTTTTTAGCTTCTTTAATATATGTTTACTAAATGATCAAACTCTCATCTATAAATACGAGGAGTAAGCAGTAGATAAAAAACCTGCCATTATACTGAAAAATCCTTGATGTAGCAGAGAACGAGTTTCAGTACAAGAGGAAACCTTAAGATCCTCTCCTTCAGCTCCGTCATTTGCTAAGTGAGACAACCAAAAGGTTGTATGATTAATTCAAAGATACGTGGAAAAGAAAAATCAAGTCAGTGCCAGAATTCATATTTATTGCTTTATAATCACTGCTTCTCAAGTTAAAACTGCTCGTTTATTCTTCCCAGATCTTGTTTAGTGCCTTATTTATAGATTTATAATCAATAAAATAAGATCATACCTTAACATGTCAAATGAACGAAATGCATTTTGTGGAAAGGAAAAAAAAATCTTTTCCTTTCTGAGAAAAGCAGTAGAAAAATGTGATAATATCTTCTTCAGCTCCACCTAGATAAAAATCTTAACCCAAGCATACAGTGGTCCTGTGCCTTTCTGTGTTGTGTACTGGGAGAATTCAGTGTGATGCCTTCACAACCTAATGCCTTTACACGTGGAGGTGAGCTAATGTTGAGTTCGTGGAGATTAAGATGAAACTAATTCTCAAAGGTGATACTGCCACACACATTCCTTATCTTCATTTGTAGAGTGCTAAGAAATGCATAGACAGAAGACTGGTAAGCACTGCCCCTGATTTAAAAAGTCCTTATGATTGATCTTATGTTATAACATTATTGACCAAAAAAAATGAGACTGAGAGTGGAAGTAGAAAGGCCCTTAGAGATATTAGAAAAATGACAGTTCCTACAAGGCATTAATATTATTTTATAGGGAAGCTAAAACTTTGATCTCCCAGAGTCCTCATTTTTATGTGACCTGACTGGGTTAAGAGCCAAAGAAATAAACAACTATACAATAGCATTCACACCTGCCATTATGACTGCAATTAACTACAAAGCCAGTAAAAAGTGTTGATGAGGAAGAGGAGATACTGAAGCTCTCACACACTGTAGAAAGACACAGCAGCTGTGAAAAGTAGACTGGCAGTTCCTCAAAAGGTTAAACAGTTCCCATGTGACCCAACACCATGACTCCTAGATATGCACGCAAGAGAAATGAAAATACACATCCACGTAAAGACTTTTACATGAATATCCATAACATGCTACTCATAATGTAGACAAGAACAAAATGTCTATTAACTGACAAGAAAAATATGATATATCTATATAATGCAATATTATTCTCCCATGAGAGAGAATCAAGCATCGATTCATGTGACAGGATGAGCCTTGGAGCAGTAAGGTAAATGGAAAAGAACACACATGAAGGCCACGTGTTATTCGATTCTGCTTACACAAAAGGTCTGAAACAAGCGCATCCAAACTGGAAAGTAGTAGATGTCAAAGTCTGTTGGGGTAAATGGGAAATGGCTTTTTATTTTCCTGGGGAGAAGAAAATGTACTGAGATCAGAGAGTTGTGAGATGTGTAGGAGTCTCTGAATATATTAAAAACCATTGAAGCACATACTTTTAAATGAATTTTATGGCATGTGAATTAAATATCAATCCAAAGGAATCAGAGAAACAAAGTAACTAGAGAAATGAGGGGAGAGAACGGAAGCTTTGCACATTCCTTGTCCTGCCGCACTGAGCTGAATAATTACCCACTGTGATGGGAGAGGAGCTGTAGTGAGGCTTCAACTCCATTTGTGAGGACAAAGTTCAGTTATTGCCAAGGAGAGGGACAAAGGGAATGCAGTTCATAAAACTGTACCATACAGTGATTCACTTTATGCTATGCACTATTCTGTTCTGCATTGCTAGAATGAAATGCCTGGGGCATCATAACTTTATAAAGAAAATAGGCTTATTTAGCTCACAGTTTTAGAGGCTGACAATCTGACCAGCACAGGCCTGGCTCTGGTGATGACTCCATGGTGGATGGCGGGATGCGAGAGGTTAGAGAAGGATATGACGCCTCACTACAGGAAACCAGACAGGTGTAGGTCTCCGGTCCCTTCTGAGGGCGTGGCCCCATCTGACCTAAAGACCTCCCACTGAGCCACACCTCTTAAAGGGCACCCCACTTCCCAGTATTGCCACCCTGGGAACATACTTTCAACAAAAGACCTTAGGGGTGTGGGGTATACTTTACGTATCCAAACCAAGTATGAGTAAGGTAATTTGGAGCTGATTCTCATGTAGGACTATACTTCAGAAGACTTAGGAAATGCTTCAATTTTGATAGAGATTTTTATTAGTTTTCTTTTTGTTTTGTTTTATTTATTTTGGCACCGGGAATCAAACTCGGGTCCTTGCGCTTGTGAAGCAGGTGCCTGCACCACAGAGCTAAATCCCTGGCCCAGTTTTCTTTTAAAGCCAAACTGATCAAAATAATGCTAAAGTTTATTTCTAGGTCCAGTCCAATACTAATAAGCATAATATCATCCCTAGAGGCAAAGGGACTCTTCAACATTCAAGGAATAAATTCTAGGTATAAAATTTCAGACTTTATACTAGGAATTGGAAAAATATGTTGGACAAGGAATTGCATATAAATATATATTATCAGTTATATAAAAAGACATGCAACTTACAGTTATAAGAACATACCACGGAAACATGCATATATATGTTCAAATATATATATATATATTGCTGCTTAGGGATAGGTGAATTTGCTGCCATTTATAAATTAAGTAACTAATGCATGTGATAATGAAGTAATTGCTCCTAGTGTCTTTAAAAATCAGAGGCAGATCAGATCCTTTGCTCCTAAAATGGACTCCTGGCTGCTGGTTTAGAATTTTTTCCAGAGCCACACTTTGTTTCCTACTAAACTGCCAAGCTGCTTTTGATGCCAATGTTGATTTGAGCAAGCTTTATTCATTGTCATAAAGACCACATCGGCCCAGTATAATTACTAGGCTGTCATTTACACACAAGGAAAACAACACCTTCTTTTAATAAGTAATGAACTCCCGTGTTCCCATTTAGTTTCACAATGGTTCAATGCCCCCTCCTAGGAACAGGAAGAGCCCCGGATATTGTACAGGGACTGAGGTCCTGGGGCCTAAACCAGCAATAGCATTAAGTAGAGGCTGGGTCTTGAATTAGCACTGGAAGACCCCATAAACAACCTCAAGATCTTCATGAGAACAGAAAAGTCAGGTGCAAGCACACCAGTTAATACTGTCCCAAGGAACTACACAAAGAGTCAAATACGAATCCAACGGTTCCTACCTAACTAGGGGGAGACACGTCATACAAAAGCATGGCAGGAACGTAGTGGCGACAATTTTGTGAGCACAGGCAGTCTTGACTGTGGGGAAAACCCGAAGGTCACTGGGACAGCTTGGATAGAGACCCGGGTGCAGCCTTTGCAATATCCTTGCAATTTTAATTTCAATATAAACCTGGGCATCAAAGAATTTATACTATTTGCTACTATCATTCCTTCTGTTTGATGAGAAATGAGAGTCCTAGCATTGGAATAGCAAAATTTTGTTTCTGACTCTATACACATTAGCTATGAGACTTTAAGAAAGTGACTACAGGCCTGACTTCCACATTTTTGGGGATATAAATGAGTCATTTTAAGGAAAATGTGTTAATACCGATGGAAGCACATTAAATACTTTAGAATCCATGAAACCCTCAAATTATCATTCAGAAGTTTTCTGGGTGCAGCAAGAAACTTATAATTAATCATATAATAAGACAGTTCATGCTGCGCTTTTGTCACACTTGTTTATATCTGCTCCAGCATCCCGAAACCTATGCCACAGCTGTAGCTAGAACCAGTCACACATACACAGACATTTTTGGAAGTCATCTAAAGTTTTTGGCAGAGACCTGAGTAATCGCACATATTCAGGAGTTCAAAATACATAAAATGAGCCCTAGGAATGACAATGAATCTAATGCTCAGTGCACACAGGCAAACTTGGAGACACAGCTGATAGAATCCTAGACCACCTTGATCCAGTGCACACAGTGAAAGCAGACTCAACAGTAAAAGGAGTATTTTTTTTTTCTTTTCAACAAATAACTAGTGGTCACAATGCATCTGTTTTTCTTTATAATCGTAAGCTTTCTCTTCACTGTCAGTATCAAGGCAAGGCTTCCAGAAAAACTAGTAGATACAACAGACTCATCACTTCAAGTTTATCATGTGCATGGACCTCGTGAATACCATGTTTGAGTTTGATAGTTCTCACACTAAAATGTTCTGGTGTTCATCTTAAGATGACCTTGACTTTAATGGCATATGAATACTTTGACATTTGTAACATGAATTTTGATCACTTATTCTTTTAGCTGCAAGTGCACAACTGGATTCTGCTCTAGCACTGTACCACTCATTATGCAACTGTCTCTTTTTCACAATTCAATTACCTACCTTGCCCTATCCTTACCCTCAAAGTAAAGACCTCCTACCCAGTTCAAACCAGATGATGAATGAATGCTGGATCA